ATATCAGTTCAGTATCGTACTTAACCGGTTTCAGTTATACCGATTAAGTCCGAATGTCATGTCAGGTTCAGTAGAGCATCTTAACATAATTAATCAGTTAATTTATCAGTCTGAGCATAGTCAATGGTAATTGTTTATACTATATTTCAGTTTGATCAGACATCAGCACTACCGTTCAGTTTCAACAGTTCAGGTGGGGACTCAGACTAAGTACTACATTGTTTATAATTACGCTACCATGTTCGAGGTATGTATATTCAGTATCCGCTCGCAATGGTCGCCGGTCCATTCTGGGTTCTAGTGGCCTAATCTAACTACTAGAGTGTGCACATGGTCCGATATTAGTTTGTGCCGGGAGATTGCGGTATTAGTTTGTGCCGACAGATATTCAGTTATCAGTTACGTGACTTATGTCGCGAGATCATACCGGTATCAGATATCAGTTTCAGTTTCAGTTTCAGTTTCAGTTTAGTTATATATGCTGAGATCATGATATTGTTATTATTTTCAATGTTTACATTAGTATGAGTTTCTGCGGAGCACAAGTGTTTTAGTGCTCACGCCCCCACGCATTTCATGTTTTTCAGGTCGCAGGGTCGGGGACGAGGAGTGAGCTGGCGGGCAGTTCAGGACATTTGTGATTCATGTATATATGTTTTGCCACGCAGTTATTTCCGCTAAAACTATCAGTACTTATTTTCAGCCTTTGTTCCGACGTTAGTCGGGTAAGACATTTAAACCGTTTTTATTTATCAGTTTAAAATTTTAACGGTTTTCAAAAAAATCAAGTTTTCACGGTAGCATCCCGAATCAGTTTTAAAAAATAACTATTTTACTTATTTATTCAGAAAATTGTGAAATATCGCGTACTCTGATAGTATTAAAAAGTCGGGGTGTTACAAATGGTATCAGAGCACGTTTCTGCGTCTCTGAAAAGTTTTTCAGTCAGAAATTTTCCGAAAAACCTGAACCGTCACGCTCACGCCTCGTGGACTCCAGGTAAGTGCTGATTCAGTTTTCAGTTATAAACATATACTTTGTCTATGCTCAGAAATCAGTAATCAGACTTAGTTAAGATGCTCAAATCAGATTCAGACTTTAGAGTTCAGATATGACTCTAGAATTCAGTACATTCATGACATTAGAATTTAGTATCTTCCGATATAACTCTAGAGTTCCTCAGGATTCATGTCAGTATTTGTCAGTCAGTTTTGGCAACTCGTCAAGAGATCTATGTGCCTAAGTAATCAGTCAGAATATTATCACGTGTTCAATAATTTGAACTTTCTCAATGTTCACATGCCGCCCCGTAGGGAACCCGATCATCCGGCTCCTACTCAATCCACAGTAGTCGCACAGTTCCGCGACTATCATGTTGAGAAATTTTCCGGGCAGGGAGATCCCCGTATCGTGGACGAGTGGATTCAGAACCTTAAAAAGGAATTAAGTTTGAAAACTCTAGATTCAATTCTAGATTTATTCAAGTCAAGTTAGCAACTTGTCAGGAGATTTGTAAGCACTTATGCTAAACAAATCTTAATAATCATGTTTCTCATATATTTTCTATCGAAAACTGCAATTTTGCCAATTAATTGGCAGACTTCAGGGAGAAATTTCTTGATTCAATTTGAGGAGTAGACTCAAATTTCCTAAGTCAGATCAGTAAATCACGTTCAAAGCAAAAATTTTCATGTTAAAGGTTGTTATAATTCTTAAGTCATTGTTAAGGTAACGGTTTCTAGTGTATAAGAGTCAATAGTCCGGGTTACCATGGAGGCTTTAAATAATAGCCATTCAACCGGGTATAACATGGAGGCTTGAAGCTAAAACCGGAGTAATGTAATAACAACCTTTGAAGTCAGTCATGTCAGATATTTTATCAGTCATGATATTTCGAGTTATGATTTTTTTAATAATCAAGATCAACTAATTACTTTGTACTTGCGGGACCAGTTGATACTGGAGCAGCCCTATATAGTACAGAGTTATAAATTTATGTTTGCGATTTACAGTTTATGTTCATGATGTAAGGTCGACGTATAATAGTTGTTCAGCCGGGCTAAATGTGGCGATCTGTTATATAGACCATTAGTCCAAATTACCTGGAAACTTGAAGTCGCACCTTACCAAGTCAAATAAGTCAGTAAATATCACGTTTTCAATCTCGAAGCAACTATTTAGTTGTCTCGGGATAGTTTTCAGAGTTCAGACAAAGATGATTCAGTCATGTGAGAGTCAAGTCATGGTTATTCAGTCATGAGAATATTTAAGCCAGTCATGTCAAGATCAAGAATAGTCTGTCTAATAAGACAAGACTTATCTATCATTTTCAGTATGTCAGCGCCTCGATTCTCAAATTCTGAAGAAATCTGAGAAATTGGGGGAGATATTCATTCATGATGGACTTCTTCTTGAGGTTAAGTTTAACCTCGGAGGGAGTAAACAGTTGCAGGTACCATAGGTTGACATACGCCGTGACGAAGAAGGGCCAATCGATAGCAACAGATCGTGCCATGATGACAAACCGACGCTTTCCACCCCAAGATGCCATGCTTGAATCACAGTACACTGGGAGATTACAAAGAGTTAGTATTAAAAAGTACATTGAGGTAACTAGCTTGAGGTATAAATGCGATCAGATTACGTCAACGACGCACGTGCAATGTTCGCCAGGTGCTGTATGCAGGCGTGCCGCACTTACTTGATGAGGAGCAGGTGTGCCGCATTACAATGTGCCGCGAACGATGTGCCGCGTTGTCGAGCAGACGTTCATGAAAGGTAATTACCAATACAGCTAGTTATCCTCATTTGTACATACGTGTATCTCTGGAATCTTCCGTGTGTACCAACGACTGAAATCTTCACAACCAGCATTCAGATTGAAGATCAGCCAACAGCCAGGAGATGATGACCAATACGCTTCAGAGTTTCATTTTAAGATCATGTCTTA